GAAACTCCTTCAGGGGAAACATCTGTTAATCATTCACCTTAAGAACATTGGGGTGGCGGGATAGGGAATTCTTGGAGAACAAGTTTCCCAGAGCTGTGTCCTGTAAATAGGGTTATCAACTCCTGAATACCAGACCTTCATTCCATAAGGCAGCTCCCCGCAGGGGCTGTGTCCTGTACGCAGGGCTGTTAACTCCTGGATACCAGACACTCACTTCATGAGGCAGCTCCCGGCAGAAGTCAGTTTTTAAAGGACTATAAGGGAATGCTATAAACAATAATGCCTACAAACCACATAATCTAGAACGTTTTTAGAAACACACAACCTACTAAACCTCAATCATTAAAAAATTAAAAAAAAATTTGAACTGAATTATGACTAGAGACTCAAGTAGCAATAAAAGATCTCAAAGAAAACCCAGGATCAAATAATTACACTGCAGAATTCTACCGTTCAAAAAAGAATAATTTAAAAAAAATAATAATCTTCAATAGTGCTAAAAATTCTGCAGGCAAGATCCTGAAACGAAACCCACAGAAAGACCCAACAAGAAAGGGGAACTAAAAACCAAAACTCTCTTGAATACTGATGCAAAATCCTTGACAAAGTACTAGCAAACCAACTTCAACAGCACATTCAAAATATCTGACTTCATAAGCAAAAGGATTCTATTCCTATAAGGCAAGAGGCACTCAATATACAAAAATCAATTCATTTGATAGATCACATCAACAGATGAAAGAAAAAAAACACATAGATCATCTCAACTGATCCATAAAAAAGCATTCTGCAAAATTCAACAACCTTTCAAGACACAAACACTCAACAAAATAGAAACAGTAAATGTTCTCAACAGAATGAATATCATTTACGGGGTGGGCGTCAGTGGTAGAGTGCATGCCTAGCATACATGGGGTCCAGGGTTCAAACCCCAGTACTCAAGTAAGTAACTAATCAATAAACTGAATACCTTCCCCCATGAGCGAAGAAAACAAGTGAATATGACTTACGAAACACGTACAGATAACATGATACTAAGAAGCGAAAGAATGAAAGTTTTTTCCTCTCAGATCAGGAAGAAGGCAAGGATGTACTCTCTGCACTACTGTTTTAAAAAGTACTGAAAGTCCTGCCAGTGGAATTAGACAAGAAAAAGAAATGAAAGTCTCACAAAGTGAAAAACAAGTAAAATTAACTTGTTTCTTATATGATAAGGTTACATATATGTATAA